AGTCAATTCGTGACATCCATATAGGTAATTCCTGCGAAAATCGTCTCGGTTGATTGCATACGCACCATAGGGCTGTCAATGAAGAGGTAAACTTTTACTTCCGGTGAAAACGTAAAACCGCCATTTCTCCACCAATATTTAGCCTTTTTCAATTTTTTTTCCAGAAATTAGAGATTATTCTTCGACCACTATTTTGACTCAAAAATCCAAATTTGAAGAAAATTGCCGACCCGAAGGTATACTGTAACCTTAAAAGAACTCAAATCAAAATTCTTACTTATCCTGGGTTAGCTTAATCAGGCTTTGAACAACCTGGCCTAGGAGTTCCACTTTCAGGCTTGGCTAAATCTAGATACTAATCTTAGGCTGTGGAAGTGTATGGTTTGTAATGCAGATGAAGTTATGTCAGCTGGCATGAGACATGTATGTACATGTAGTGCCAGGGAAATGTACTCCTGCTGTTACTTCTTACATATTATTTTGGTACAGATCAGGTGCTCATGCCCACTTTGATTAGTGGCATACCTCTATGGGCCAATTAAGGTGTGATGTAGCTCTCCAAAAAACTATGTTAAGCATGTACCCACCCGCCTACCTACCTATGTACATGTACTTACTTACCTTCTTACTTCCCTTAACTTATTATACAGAAAAGCTGAATACAACAATTGTGACTCCAAAGTATAATGAAGGTCTTTTGACTAGTGAGACAGTGATGGCAATCAAACAAGCACAGCAAGAGCATCAACATTTCCTCAGAATTCCTCGCAGGTTTGCTCATCTTGACAGAAACATTTTTTTAATGCACAAAACATTATGAAGGTACATGTAGCTGTTTCATTTTGTTGTAGGCCAGAATGGGATGAGAACATGACAGCTGAAGAGTTAGACCAGACAGAGAAGGAAAGTTTTCTTCAATGGAGAAGACAACTTGCACAGTAAGATCCTAAGTAGGGGGTTGCACAGAGGGGATCTCTGGTACAGTTCATGAACGGAAAAAATATATAGAGGATCTCGGATCACGGATGTAAAACTTTTGTTTTCCCGAATCACGAAATTTAAGCAAGTAAGATACTCTTTCTCTTCTTATACTAGAAAGAGTGTTTGAAGAAAGCAAAATCATGAGAGGCTAAGTCAAGGCTCCATATTGATGAATCGCATATCTAAGTCACTCTCAATAGACAACTCTAACCATTTTGAGGACTTGCGTCTCAAAATCACGTAGAACAGAGTGGCGAAATCATGAATATAGGTTAATAATTCAAATTCTTCATGGGTCACGCAAAACCTTCAGGTCACGGATCACAAGGCATAGTTTCCTAAATTCACGTTTTACGGAAAATAAAATCAGCTAATCATGCATCAGGAGAATACCCTTGTATGACCCTCGAAGTAAAGTTGCAAAAGCAAATCTGTTACATTTTAACTGTGATTAATTGTACCAGCATCAAGTATTTTACATTAGTCCCAACTTGTTGCCATATTTAATTTGAAACTCTTTTGCCTGCATGTAGATATCTACTATAATATTCCTTTTTTGTTGCAAGCAAAGGAAATGGTAAATGTTTGCATGTAACCCAAGACCAGTAAATGTACCCTTTATAGCCCAGCCCAGACCATGGTGCTTTGTATGCTGGTTATAATTATCTTGATACTGCATGGAGTGATATTTTAAAAAAAGAATGTGAATATGCAGTGTTAAATTAAGTATGAGGTAAACAAATCTTGTCTCTGCCCCAGAGAAAAACCATCAACTGGATGTTAAGGGAGTGTATACAGTATGTGAGGCAGTGAGCCTGCAAGCCAGATGTGTGAGTCATGCAAGGCATTGACCAAAACATAGTTATTGAAAAAATGTCATGCATTATGTAAAATCATGAATATGTGACTGATTTATCTTAGGCAAAGAATAGTCCCATAAATAGAGCTAGTTGAATCTGCCAAAGATGATCCAGTGATGTCCATGTAGGTCGTACCGCAGGATCTAAGAGAAAAGGCACTCGGGAGTGTGAGACTCAAATGACATAGGCAATGGCATCCAGTTGGTGTACTAATGGTTCACCAATATGGCAGCGGGGACATCAATTGCGTACCCTCCATTGGCCATTAGGGAATTCATTTCAGCACTATTGTAGATCATGGACTTCTGTACTTTAACCCAAAATATGGAAAATGCTTATTTACATGATGATAATTGTACATGTATTTTAACCTTCTTGCCTAAATCTTCACATTACTCAAAGAACTCTTAGACTGAAATAATTTTCTGATTTGAACAAAACCCNCCCCCCCCCCCTCAGTGGATTGTTAGTCTATTGCAGGGCTATCCCCAGCATTAAATCTCCAGTACCCATTTATACGCACAGTGCCTATTTAGAGGCATTGTGAGGGTAAAGTGTCACAATGGTCCCGGATAGGACTCAAACCAGACCTCCAGCACTCTAACCATTAGGCCACTGCATCTCCCTTTGAATTAGGTATATTCGAATTTGACGCAAGCAACATGTGCTCCTAGCCCTTCAACAAGGATCTATGTAATCTTATGACATGAAATTTTCATTTTGTTCCTCTGTTTTTTTCAGATCACAAAAATATAGAAAGTCATTTATTTAGTACATGTAAAAAGAAGGTTATTTGCAAAGTTGTTGTGGAATAGTATCCTTGTTGTAAAAATAATTTATCATCTTTCAAAATTAGGTTGTCATAAGTAAGTAACATGTATCACTTTAATTATAATTCCTTACTTGCAAAGATAGATTTTGGTTATTTTGAGCTTCATACATGTAAAAAACCTGTGTCGTTATTTTAGGTTACAAGAAAAAGATCATATACTCCTAACTCCATTTGAACGTAATCTCGACTTTTGGAGACAGTTGTGGAGAGTAATTGAACGCAGGTACTATCCTCTTGTAACGAGTATACACCTATTTCAATTAATGTTGTCAGATCAAAGCTTAAGCAGCAAGACCAAATGGTGGGAGAGGTAGAAGTAGGCAGCTTGTGCAATCACTTAGTATCAATGACATATAAGAACATTTTTTTCTTCACACATAAAGCAAGTTAAGCTACACTGAAGTTTAGCTTTTTCAAAGGTACAGAAAAAGTTACTGACTTTTGAGGGGAAAACAAAACAACTGCAAAATAGGAATATGCTGTATAGTGTATACTACACTGACATCAATACACAAAATTCTAATATTATATTATAATTATGATTATGATTATGATTATTATTATGATCATTATTATTATTGTAAGGCCATAATTTGATCTAGTTGCATACAGACTACCCAACAGCATGAACTGAAATAGCAATACTTTTAATATTTATGTTGCCATGCCTCCTCCTTCAGTATAACTTACAACTCCACTATGTAAACCCACAAACAACTTGACTGACTGAAAGGCCCATAAAACACAGAGGAAAGAGATGGAAAAAGAAAATGAAAAATGGCATAAAAAGGAAGAAATACCCTTTTTGTGATAAAAAACTGGTGATATGCCAATGGTAGCTTTTTGTGCATACCCTAGCCAAACGGTCTCAAACTGTAAGCAATTTAGGGATCATTAGTTTCCTCCATCTTTGGCACAGTCATGTGAAGCATGTGAGGCTGTCTGGCTGCCACCTCTTAGGAAAAGAGCCAGACAGGGAAGTGAGAGACAAGAGGTCGAGAAATATACATACTAAAGATTAGCAGAGGAGAGGATAAAATTCTTAGGTACTTTTAGTCAATGTATTGTGCTTTCTTCTAGTGACGTAGTTGTCCAGATTGTGGATGCAAGAAACCCCCTCTTGTTTAGATGTGAAGACCTGGTAAGACAATGTTTTGTTTTGTTTTGTTTTGTTCTTACAAGTACGTGGATTTCATCCTTATGCAGTGCAGTTATTGTCACTGAAATGTTCCCAGTGGTGGAGTAATGTAGGGCATAAGTCGTAGTCCTTTCTAACACATTCAGTAATAAAGAGAAGAGTGATAACTTTTTCCTGGACTTGAGCACAAGCTTTGCATCTCCCTTAAACACACAAGGTAGCTGTACTAGAATCCGGTTTACCTAACTCGAAACTTAAAACAACTCAAAATCATTGGCATTTATGGTATCTACATTTACTCTATGTGAATGATGTCAAAATGTGTTGAGTAAGTCAACTCGGGTTGTGATCCAAAGCTGTCTATGATATATACTACAACATGAACTGTAATGGCCTCTCAATCGGACACGTACGTAGCAACCGTTTGTTAGAGAAGGCATTTGACAGTAAGATAAAGGAAACAAAACGGTGCTGGTAAAACCATCTCTCAAACGAGTGACTGGAATAAACTGAAATTGATAACTGAGTGATGCATTTATCAAACACGGGAGGCTGTTTTTACAACATCTCCAAACACCTAGAAGAGAGTTTAAACTACGTCGCAGCAGAGTATTTCTAACTAACTTTCAAGGTGTTTGGAAATGTGGTCAGAAGTCTTGAGTGTTTGAGATGTCTTCTCCATCAAAACTGAAACTGAGGAAAAAATGGAGAAACAAAATAATTATAAAAATCTGTGCTAATTAAGATCACATATCCAAATACTCGCAGTTATGATTGCCCCTTTTTTCGGCTTGATTAATCATGAATGAGTTTGAGAAGAATTAATCAACACGTACTCCAGTGGAGGCTCAGGTCCAGGTCTCAGGAGGCTCTGCACCCTGACACGTAATGTGTTAACATGAACAATTTAACTGATACTCACTCTGATCTTCTGAAGACAAACAACAGCTGCTTGTTTGTTTTACTAAGTTAAACTCTATTTTCGGTTCTACTTCTAGTTGAACCTTTTTACTTTCACTTTGATTCTTGAGCATCATTTTTTCTCCTTAAAGTGGCCGTATGTGGTAAATCAAGATTATGGGATGTTGGCCAGGTCTTTACTGCATGTTTACGGACCTGGAACAGCACACACGAGAAAGAACTTGACCAATATTTTGCCATCTTGACAGAAAAAAATGTGATCAAAAAATATTATTTGTTGATTAATAACCACCATTCTTTCCTTGTTTTAAGGAGAATTATGTGACTGACATTGATCCAAAGAAATGCAATCTTCTTCTCATAAATAAAGCAGATTTGTTATCTCCAGAGCAAAGGTAAATAGCTAGACTAGTGTTTCACTGTCGAATGTGTTCCCGAAAACCAATTCTATTGTCAGAGCAGTCTAGTGGAGTTGAAAGTTTTTTTGAAAGTTTTTTTTGCTATCAAGTCAATACGAATTTAGAGTTGATTACCTTCATGGCTACCTAAGGGTATTTGTTGAGCTGACAGGTCCCTTCTTGAACAATATTAAAAAACAGACTATACTGTTATGAAATGATTTGTGTACACAGAGACTCCTGGGCAAGATACTTCAGAAGTGTTGGATTACCGGTGGCTTTTTGGTCTGCACAACAGGAAAGCGAGAGGCTTGTAAGTGCCCCCATGACTTTTTTAGTAGGCATTGTCTAGCCTGTTCCAGGGCCTTCCAGGCTCTCGGTTAGTGGGTAGGATGGAAAAAGCGGGTGGGTCTGGTAGAGAAAAGAGACCCGCTTATCGCTGATCCCGCTCGTCGCCTGCCTGCTTTTTTAATTGTCCCCACTGACCGAGAGCGTGGAACAGGCTAGGCATTGTCAAATGTCGTGACTGTGACCTACAAGCCTTGTGCAGCTATCAGAAGCAACATAATCAAACTGAGTCTTGAACATGGCATGTTTTCTTTCATGAACGTTTGTGCCCAAAGAAGAATACAGAAGGCATTATATTATGTGTTTCCTTTCAGAAATTTTGTAATAGTATTTATTGTTGACAATGTGCCAAAATAAACCGCACCATACCTGTGCATAAACTGTACTGATATGTTTGGTTTTGTTTACTTGCTAAAAGCAGGGTGATCTTAAACTAATAAATTTCTTCCGTAATAATCATGATTGTTAAGCTGGGCGGGGCAACAAAAGTTTGAAAGAAAAGATGGCATTTGATTAAAAGAAGCCCAAATCAGTGCAAACACATCAATGTTGAACATTAATTTACACACAACGATTAAAACTGGAAGAGCGTGGGCTGCGTTTGCTGATCAGTCAAGTAGACTTACCTGATGTACTGAACTATCCAGTGAAACTGAAAGTCAGTTGCTGTTATTAGAAAGAAGGGAAGTAGAGTGGAAAGTATACAGGTTACTGTAACGCAACACGTCTTACTGTCGAAATTCTGTGATAACCTTTGACTGTGACTCTTACCATAAATGTGTTGTGAAAAAGTGTCCAGAACATGGTGATGTTATGGTAAATTCAAACTCGGGAAATTGGTCATTAAGAAAATTGATATGATTTTTGTTTGGCTTTCCTAAAGATCTCTCAAGAGGTTTGAATAAGACTTGTCAAGACTAAGACTGTCACCCAGGCCTTTCAGGTGGTTGTTCAAGCCGATGTGCATTTTAAACTGTTAATAGCAGACAAAGTAACAATACTTCATATATCGTTGAATATATGTTTTTCACTCCAGTTGATGGCTACAGGTAATGAGGAGAGTCAGAAAGAGAAGGAAGAGGAAGAGAAAATGGAAAGGGAAGGACGAGAGGAAGAGTTACAAGGGGATGGCTCTTTGCAAAATTTGACACTTTGGTCAAAACTTGCAGAATTGGCAGTCGAGAATGAGGTGAAAGGTGCTGAAGATTCAAGCGTTGTTGGCGTTGAAGCAAACAGTCCAATAAAGTCGGACCTTCATATGAGTGATCTTTCAGTAACATTGTCTGAAGATAGAATTGCAAATGTTATGTGTCCTAGCAACAGCACCAATGACGTGGACTGTAAACATCTTCCCTCAAATGTTCAATCTTATCAGAGTGAACAAGCAGTGGATGTAGAAACTGACAACCAATCTATAACAGAAAAAGAACTACCTCTTATAGCACACCTTGATAGTACTACTGATTGTGGAATAATTAATGAAGTATCCTTAGAAAAAAAGGCAAAGGAGTTAAACAGCTGCCTTAGTGTTGGCACTCAGTTGAATTCAGATACGGACTCAAAGCATGAACGTTTGTTTGATGGGCTGTCAGCAAACCTTCTGACGAGAGATGAGCTGTTGGCTTTATTTAAAACGCTTCACAGGGAAAAACAACAAAACACAGCGGATTATTCACAAAAGCTGCTCACAACTATTGGTTTAGTAAGTCAACATAATAATAAGTTGAGAATTATTTTCCAGTTAAAAGTAAAAACATGTTGTATCACATGGTGGAGGAGATGGTTTTGGAAAAAGAGTAATGATTAGTTAGTTTTTCATTCCTAGTTAAATGTGATTTGTATATAAAGTCAGTTAGTAGAATTCTACTTGTACACTAATACAATTACACTATCAGCGATTAGTGTGTAGTGGCTGGAAGTCGTCAACAAATTGGTGACGTTTTCTCGTTTTTCCGAAGTTTTGGAGGAACATATTGGTTAATTAAATTCCTGACAAGACTAAAGAAGGACATTTACCGTTACCCCGACAAGAAAAATACTTGGAACTGTTGAAAAAACTAATGATCGAGGGCACGTACAGTGATTTATCTAAATTGTGAAGCTTAGTACTAAATGAATAAAACATTGAAAATTGTTGCTCTTTACGGAAATGCTCTCAGAATTCTTCTTAGATCTTCTTAATTACCACTAGATTACTGGCTCTCGATTTTTATGAGTAGAAATACAGTCATAGAGTTTCGAGCTTATAATCCGATTGTTCAAGAGATTTTTGAGTTCTTTCTCTCTTTTTTTTTTTTTTTTTTTTTCAATATCTTTACAGGTTGGGTACCCGAATGTTGGAAAAAGCTCAACAATCAACACTCTTCTGAATGACAAGAAGGTTCCCGTTTCAGCAACTCCTGGGCGAACAAAGCACTTTCAGGTATTAATTTTAGCACTTCGGTCAATTATACGGTTGCCCCCTGTACCTCCTATCTTCATTAGATTTCAATGCAATAATTACAGAAAACTTGGTACGATCAATTGTTGCATTTACAACATTGAAATTATTAGCTAGACTTGAGAATGAAAAAGTTACAAATGTTGTCTTTGTACTTGCATGTTTTGACTTGAACTCTTTATTGCAGACACTTTATGTTAATGATGAGGTGTTGCTGTGTGACTGTCCAGGCCTTGTGTTTCCTTCATTTGTGTCCACAAAAGCTGAGATGATCCTCAATGGAATTTTACCAATTGACCAGATGAGAGACCATGTCCCCGCTGTCTCTCTTATATCTTTCTCCATCGCACTGCCTTGACTCAGGGCTTGGCATTTGTACTCACTGTTTAATCAACTATTATCAATTGTTTTGTCTCGATTCCAGTACTAGAATTGTTGTGCTAAACAATTCATTTCCTGCCACAATGATGATACAGATAAACCTGTAGTACTAGTGACAAACCTTTAAAAGTGGCTTAAGTCAACTAGTAATGAAAAATATATAGATAAATAATTGATTTTAGTCGAAGAAAGGTGTAGAGTTGTGTTTGAGTAGTACATCATGCTGCTTGTACGTATTCATTTTCCTTGACTTAAACCACCTCTGTCAGAGAATTCCTCGTGGTGTTCTTGAAGTAGTTTACGGTATTAACATTGCCCCACCCCAGGAAGGAGAGGATCCCACTAGGGCTCCTTATGCTGATGAGCTGCTGTCTGCTTATGGATGTAAGTTTTTACTTCTATGTGTAAAGCCAGACTTTGTTCCTTTCACTTCAGAGCAAGAAACTGAAAACCAGACTGACTAAAGAGAGTTGTATAATTATTTTGCAGATATCAGAGGTTTCATGACCTCGCACGGAATCCCGGATTGCTCCAGGTCTGCCCGCTACATCCTAAAGGATTATGTGAGGGTTAGTTAGTCAGCTTACAGGATATTTCAAAAGAAAACATCATTCCGGTTTTTTGAGACGAACTAGACTTCAATGAACATTGTATAAGATGGAAACAATTTTTTTACTTTCTTTTCTTTTCTCTGTAGGGTAAACTTCTATACTGCATTGCACCACCTGGACAGGATGAAACAGAATTTCAGCAAATCGGCAAACTGCAAAACCTTGCTGATGTTGAGAGGAAAGATCGGGAGGCCAGAGAGAGAGCTCACAAACAGGTAGTTTTTCTTTTTTTCGTTTATTCCTACTTAGAGCAAGAATATATCCGCTCCTTTCTGCGCGATTGTCGTTGTAATAAAAGTAATATATAGATGTAAAGGTTAACCATCAAGGAACAAAAAAGATTTGTTTTTCTAGGATCAGAAACTCAAAAAATGATCAGTTGTGAGCATGTTGTTTCACTATTTTTGCCCAGTTAAATTTTAACAAACTAATCCAAATAGGTGTACCCAATTGTTCTAAGATTGTACAAATTATGTACCCAATATATCAGGGACTTTCCAACAGACGATTGTGCGAGGAATTTGTCGGAAGAAAAGTCAATTACGTGTCAGGGGTGAATTTGCGACCTCCTTCTCTCCCAGAGTAATAACAGTTCAACTTCCAACTTTGCACGAAATTTTACACCGGAAAAAAAATTTGGAGAATTTGACTAGTAAACTAAATGCAACTAACATAAAGTAGTTCGAAATAAATTTTTAATGCATCTTTCTTTGTATAGTATCGGAGTTACTCCCTCGATGCAAAGACTTTTTACAAATCTTTAGCAGAGGGCACCATGACAAAGTTACGTAAACAACCCATTTGTAATTAAAACCAATTTTCCACTGGGAAAAAAGTTAACATGTTATTTGCCGGCTTAACGGGGTTTTATACCTTAAAAATATTTTTTTTTTATAAAGCAACTCTGTGGAACAGTTTTGGCGTTAAGGACTTCGCACTCATATAGGTATAAGGAAGACCATTTCGATGAATCATCATTGTTGTGATGAAAATATTTCAAGAATTTGTTATGCTAATGACTAATTGCAGCATTTAAATGCGAACAATAAAAAAAAAATTAACTTTTCCAGGTCACATGCCACAACAGTTAGTGAATAACTCTTAAGTGTTAAAAAGTGGTGTTCATGCTGTCCATAGGCAAGTTGTCCAGGGAGCAAACCTCAGAAAACAGTGTTTTGGGGGTTTTTTTCTCGAGAAAATGGGAAACATTTTACTAATATTAACTAATATTAACTATATTAACTAAATAACAGGGAAAACATTTCATAAATTGCAACTTTTTGAGGTTCACGACTTAGATAATTGTGTCCTTTACCAATCTTGAAAGTTTGGCAACATTCGGTGGAAACCCAATGGAGATACCGTGTGCGAGGTATTGGTGATCCGTCTATTTGGTCATCTTGAGAACTAAGGCTTTAAAGTTTTACTTCGTTCTCCGAGAGCCCAAATTAGTCCTGTGAACCGGGGAGGGGGTAGAGGCAGGGGGAGGAGGTGTATCGAAAGGTCTTACATAAATATTCCATTGAATACCCGAATACACACCAGTCATAGAGATGTTAACCAAGTATACTGAAGAAGCGTGTAAGATGGTAGAGAAAACAATGTTCGGGACCGTGATGCAAAATTCTCATAAGTACACATCTCTCCATTTTGCGAGTAGTTTTGGACTTTACACAACCGTTGCTATGGTTGTCGCCATGTTGAAATATAGCCATCAGTGTGCAGATTTCTTCATTTAAACGTAAATCAAGGAGTGATTAGACTAAAATTGTTTCAAAATACATTTGCAAATGATCAGAGATGTTGAATCTTCGTGTTTCGAAAAAATGTTCTTTTGGAGAAAAATTTATATCTGAGGGTACAAGACCCCTTTAAGGTCGGTCCGTATAGAGAAAAATTGTGACCTCGGGCTTCAAAATACTGCCCTGGGCCTGCGGCCTCGGCAGCATTTTCAAGACCTCGGTCACAGTTTTTCACTATACGGACCGCCTCGCCGGCAAATAACATATATGTACCTATGGTAATGGTGCTACTCTTATTTTTCAAGGTATAGGGTTTGGCGTGCGGACAGTCACGTGACAACCAAAATTTTTAGATCGATTGGTTACCAAATTTTCTAAGGTACGGGGCTCCGCTCGCTCGCTTACGACGCGCCGAAGCTCCGCTATAATGTAACGAAAGTTCGCTCCACTCGCCTGGATCTTCTCATACCCTTTGATTTCAGCCCTTGTGGCACTTTCTTGTTCCTTCGTTCCTTCGTTATGGAAATTATAAGCTGGCAAATTTAACGATACGATACTTTATTTAACGTGAAATTACGCTTAGCTCAGTAATCAGCGAGTTAACAGGTAATTCACTGCCCTTGTATATTCTAAAAATTAAAACTAAAAATCTACGATAATTGATCGTATAAAACTATAAACGCAGAGAACTAAAAATCTAGAGAATCAAATCACAATAAATTCCGATATCAGTCAAAATTAAGCGATCGAATTTTGTTATTCACTTCATTAGTGCGAACTTTAGTTCTAATATCATTTAATGGTTTCCATTTTTATTGTTCGCATTTAAATGCTGCAATTAGTCATTAGCATAACAAATTCTTGAAATATTTTCATCACAACAATGATGATTTATCGAAATGGTCTTCCTTATGATACCTATATGACAAACTGGTTTTGCCTTGTGTGTATGCCCAAGAGATAAACTGAATTGGAGAGAATAAATTTTCATTACTGTAAAACCACGTTTTTGGCAGTTTTTGGCAATTGTCGAGATGAAGGCCAGGAATAAGTATCTGCAGTGTAAATTGTTTTGCCTGGGTTTTGCCCCAAAACACTTCAATGAGCCGATTTGTGTAGAGGTGGCGGGGGGGAGGAGTTTTCTCTCTTTTTGTGAAATTAAAATGCACAATTTCTATATTGCGATTTAGTCAGATATCCGGGGGCTACAGGTTTCGTGTTATTACCGTCGTGAAACTAATTTGTGTAAATTGTTCCACCGTGTTTGGACATTGACGTATGTTTTGTCTTGTTTCTTAGATGAGCGATGTGGACAAGAATTTCTTTAAACAGGTATTTTGCCAGACTGAAGTCATGTCAGCCCATAGTTTTTAGAGGGAAATGATTATGAAGCCAGGCAAACATCAAAGAAGCAAACAAAGATGCCCAGATCGTCCACGACCGTGCACAATCTTTTGTCTTTCGCTCATACACTATGCATGAATTACGTAGTTGGTTACGTAGTTGGTTAGTTCCTCAGTACGGAGTAAACAACTATTGTGTTTTGTGCACGGTCAAGGCCAAAAAAGCGGACAAAAACATATAACAAAGAAATTTGTCAGGTTTCATAACCATTCCCCTCTATTAAGTGGCAGTCCCGCTAAAAGCGGTCCACTCGATTTCGGGACCAAAAATAATTTTCCTTCATTTTTTGCCAGTGAAAAGGGTTTGACACACATATATAAAAAAGCATTTTATTATTTTCCAATTCCTTATTTTTGCTTTGCTACGAGCCAAAATTGAATTTTGGCCGAACTGAGGTTGCCGACCGTGATCAGAAAGGCAAAATTCA